GTGATGTACTGTTGGTGAAATGTATGCTGGGAGATAAGAGTTGGCTGATTAAATGTTGATTGACTGGTTTTACTCGTTTAATACTAAGTTTAAGTGTAACGTCTGCTGTGTTTTTTCACCTGTTTGTGTCTTGGGTTTTTTTATCTTGTTTTTTTCAGTAGCCGACGTGACACTCACCTCCTGATTGCACCTGCTATGAACCTCTAAGACTGAGCCACACCCCTCTCTTCAAGAGCTCTCCCCTTTCCTCTGGACACTCCAGCCATGACAGCCCTTCTTTTACTTTAAAATTCACTATTTACTTTAATAAACTTGTTTTGGTTTTGACCCTTTTATGTTGCTTCTCTTGAGTTGGGGTTGTAAAACAAGGTGAGCTCAACGTATCATTTGTTCGCTTAGTTTAAGCTCTTTGGTGGTCAGGTTGGTGGTCTGCTGTTGCAGGATCTGTCCTGTCCACTTTAATTTGACTCCTGCAGGAGAGTACTGTTAAATGATTGCTGTATAATTTATGTGGGTTCCCTATAAAGTGCTTAGGCAAAGTGAGTGTTGTGTGGTGAAGTGTACTGTGGAATGGTTATGTTTTGTTGTTTTATTGTGTCGTGTTGTATTATGTTGTGTGGTGTTTTGTGGCACGGTGTTGTGTTGTGTACTGTTGTGTAATATTGTGTTGTTGTGCCATTGTGTTTTGATGTGTAGTGTTGTGTGGCATTGTGTTTTGTTGCGATGTTGGGTGCTGTGGTGTTGTTATTGTTTTGAGTGGTGTGTTGTGTGGCATGGTTTTGTTTTATTGTGTTGTGTGGTGTTTTGTTGTGTGTTGCTGTGGTGTTGTGTTGTGGCATGGTGTTGTGTTGTGTGGTGTTGTGTGGTATGGTCTTGCTTTGTTGTGTTATTGTGTTGTGATGTGTGGTGTGACATGGTTTTGTGTTGTGTTTTGAGGTGTGTGGTGTGCTGTTGTGTTGTGTGGTGCTGTGGTGTTCTGTTCTGTGCTCTTGAGTGGTGTTATGTTGTTATTGCGTTATTTTATTGTGTTGTGTAGTTGTTGTTATTGTGTTTTGCTGTGTGGTGTGGTTTTGTTTTGTTGTGTGGTGTTGTGTTATTGTGTTGTGTGGTGTGGTAAAGTTAGGTCTGATAGGCAGGGATGTAGAGCAGGGTTGTAGGTTTCTGTTTGAGCTGACTATTTCAAACATCTCAGGAAACCGAAGAAAGCAAGGAGAAAAAGGGCTTCTAATGTCATGGATAAATCTTTGGGCAAGAGTCCAGTGTCTTAAAGCAGTGGTGGAGGATGTCAGAGGTTAAGAGCAGCTGATGTGGTGGGAGGTGAGGTTCATTTCTTTGGATTCCTTTTAGTAAAAGTGAAATCTGAGGGAGGTTAGCTGTGGTGTGTTGGGTTCCATTGATGAGTGGTACGAGGAGCAACTGCACTCAAGATTGTTTCTTGCGGGGCTCCCGAGTGGTGCAACCGTCTAAGCGTTGGCCCTATCATCAGGAGATCACGAGATCTTTGGTGATGCTACAGCCATCTGTGGCCAGGAGTCCAAGAGAGCACAATTGGCCTCACTCTCTCTGGGTGGGTAGGATGGCCCCTCCTTCTCCCCCATCATTCAACGTGATGCTAGTCAGTGCAGGCGTCTGTTAGCTGATGTAACAGATCTGGCGGTTGGCGCTTTCCTCCGAGCGCGTTCAGCTGTCCAATGACGTTGCGTGAGTGGCAGTTCGAAAAGATGCGGTGGACCTTTACAGGTCTCGGAGGAAACCTGTGTTAGCCTTCACCCTCCTAGCGTTGATAGTATCATGTGATTGGGGGAGTCCTAACTAGCAAGTAGAATTGTAGACAGTTAAATTGGGGAGAAAACTGGGTATTAATCCAAATGTTTCTTGAGCTTGGAGGAGGAGCTGAAAGAACTGCTGGTCAGTTGGAGGATGGAGTCTGGAGCACAAATTCTGACAGGGTGGTAGTAATGTGTTATCAGGGGGAAGGGAAGCCTGAAACAAGACTGAGTCTAGCCAAATGCCAAGGAACTCAAGTGACGTAAATGGGTCCACTGTCTTCTTGGGAGAGATAGAGGCTGAGTCACTGAAATACAGAGGAGAGGGTACAAAGGCCATACGCAGACAGAGAGGATGGGGAGACTATCATGAAGAAGGGGCTGAGACGATGAGGAAATGGGAAGGGATGATAAGAGGAGGAGCTGGGATGATGAGTGAATGGGGAGAGATGGCTGGGATAATAAAGGAGGAAGCTGAGACAAAGAAGGAAGGGGCATAGCCAAAAGTAGGGCAGACAACGCACAGGAAAAAATAAGGGGAAAGAGTCGAGAAAATCAGAAGAAGCAAGGCATACGTTGGGGGCACCCACAGTGTTGGCTGGGCCAGCAGCAGAGGCAAGCTGCCTGGAAGTGGGACCAGGACAACCAACAGAGGACAGCAGTTCTCCAGTGGAGGCCGTGAGGAATGCGACGCTGTCAGGTCTCGATTTAGAGGAGGAAGGACACGAAGCTGGGTCGGTGTGAAATTTCGTCACGTGGAGGACTGGTGTTTATAGGAAGCTGGAATTGAGAAGGAGGAGTTTTAGGCGTGGTCTTTCCTCAAACATCAGTTATGTCATTACTCTATCAAAAAAAATGTAGCAAAACTGTTTAACATATATTAACAAAAAATGACATAAATGAACCAGCACAGCTTCTGTAGTAGTCCTGTCTTACAGTTTATTAAATCACATGCATTTATATAGACAACTTAGCTGAAGACAGATTATCTTATCAAAGGCAGAGAACACAGAGCTAGATATCAGATCTAGCTCTGTCTAGCTAATAATTTCACATTATGTTCATACATTTTTAATTTTATTTTCGGTCTAAGTAGTGAAGCGACAATATGGCCTGTTAAAGAAAAGCTAACAAAAACACAATGTTTAAAAATGTGTAAACAGCGAACTATGCGCTTTCCTTCTCAGTTCATTCAAAAACTGATGTGTCTTGTCCATTCTGAGTCTGTTCTAGCTTTGGAAAACAAATTAAAAATCACGTACTGACAACATTCAGGGCATGAGGATCCAAAAAATAAACCCAACGTTCAACATTAAAGACCCACTAGAGTGCTCGTCCATGATAGAGCAAGAGCATGAAATGCTCCTTAAGACATAAAACTTAAATTTTAGTGCAAAACTTCAATTTATTTGCTGAAATGTTAATTGAATATAAAATGTGCCAGAACTTTTACACATGCCACATATTACGCTTCATTTGTTTGCCAATGAGTTCAATTCAGTAAATGAACAGTAATTGTTCAATATAATATGCAGAAATGTGTCTCTGTAGATGATGTGTGAACTAATTTTTAACACAACATATCATTTGCCAGGGGCACCAAAACTTTTGCATACAACTATATAGATCAGCTGTCCCAAAGACATTACTGGCCAACTGAGAATTCTTCTAACTATCTGTCATTGTAGATAAGGTTCTTTGGAATATTCTGGAGTAGAACCTGGAAAGAAGGACGCTAGTTTTGAAATAAACAGATCATGTGCATTCATTACTGTAATTTTACAGTTTGTCTTTTTAAGAGAGTGTTTGTAGTTGTGATTTAAAAAAAACTTTGATTTCATTTCAAGTGTAATTGGATACTGTACGATTTATTACTGAAAAATTATTTATTATAGTTTCTTTATAGTTCAATCAGATCAGATAAATTAACTCACTCTATAAATTATTATATCTTCCAATGAGGTGACCTCAGTGTACAAGATACTCATCATTGTGGATCACACAACTTCACAGTTTCAGGGCACACCCAGAATCCAGTATAGAAAGGCTGAGTGAATGTGGTGTGGACTGTGTGTAGGAGGGTCATTGTGTCAGAGACGCTGTAGAAGGACAGAGTTCCTATTCTGGAGGATGATGAGGCTGAGATCTCAGTCTAAATGTTGTTGTGATAGAAAGAGAGAGAGGGAGAACACTGCAGACTCCAGGACAGGACATTGGGCAGAAGGCAGGATACACCTTGGATGGGTCACCAGTCCATCACATGGCGAAAGCTTTCCAACCCCTTTCAATGTCAATGTCCCAGCATTTGTCTTATTAGCAAGCTGTCTACTATCTGTTAAGTACTTGGCTTGCTATGGCAACAGCATCAGTGGGGTGCAGTAAGTAAAGGGCCCTTTTTTTGTGCATGAGATCAAGGAAGTTGAGTGAATGAGCCCCATTTCCCTAGGAGGATTCATTTCTTTGGACAGCTTGTCCAGGTGGTTGCATCTAAAGGAACATGACCAACTTCTAATCTGGTTCCCTTAACTTCACCTTCCTTATTAAGGACCTCAGAAGATGTAATAGTTCTTGGTCTCATTTGAACTTACCTTGTCTGTGGTGATGCAAGTCATTTACCAGTGACAACCACAGCCACAGCCACAAAAAATGCTCGGCTGAGTGACAACAAGTAAACATCCCTCAGAACAGAGATGAGAACAGCCACAAAACACTATTTTCTTTTACCAATGACAATATATAAACTTCCCATGTTTCAGAGAGGCTAACTTTTACTGACTACTCTATTTCATAAAGGTAGATTTTCTCTTCGGTTCAAAAATGGCATTTTTACTCACCAAGTATGTTTCAGTATGCCATCCGGGTCACGGCACCAAATTGTTAAAAATTCGCCAGGAAGAGTCAGGAGACTGGATCTTCAGATTCTGAGTTTTATTCACATGCATGCAAAGAGTCATGCAGGGCACAGCTTGGTCATCAGTTTTGTCAGTAGTCTGGCACAAGTCTAACAAAAATATTTTGGAAGGACCTTATATAGATTGAAAACTAAAGGGGAGGAAGGAGGAAGAAAAGGAATTTGAGGAGGGGTAAACAGGTTTTGTAGAAGGATAGTATGAAATAAGATGAAGGGGGGGTAGAGATAAGTGAGGGGGTGATTATCACCTTGGGGTTGTGAGACAAAGGGTTATCTAAATACAAACAAAGGAGTGAGGGGGCAAGGTTAGACTGTTATCAGCTTTCACCTTATCCCTTTCTGCAAATGGTATGTGATGGGTATCACTTTTCTACAACAAAAAGCTATTTGCTTAAACTCTACAATAAACATGGTACCCACAAGAAAATAACATACAAGGGAAAACAACATATGTTGAGAATATTTTTTCTCAGTGCATATGCTGGGCTAATGAGAATAATCTGTAACTATGGTAGGTCACACAACCTCACAGTTCCCGGGTTCACCCAGAATCCAGCATAGAGCGGCTGAGTGAATGTGGTGTGGACTGTGTGTAGGAGGGTCATTGTGTCAGAGATCCTGTAGAAGGACAGAGTTCCTGCACTGTGATCCACATACACTCCTATTCTGGAGGATGATGAGGCTGAGAGCTCAGTCTCAATGTTGTTGTGATAGAAAGAGACGGAGGGAGAACACTGCAGACTCCAGGACTGACTGTTGTGTCCAAACTTACACTCGTTACCATATCTTTTCTTGCCGATCCCTTTATATGAGACTGATATGTACACATATCCACTACTGCTCCACTCAACCTCCCAGTAACAGCGTCCACTTACACTCTCCTTGCAAAACACCTGCTTCAAGTAGTCAAATCTCTCTGGATGATCAGGGTAATGATGGTTTATCGCGCTGTATGACACCACTCTGTTTTTCCCTGACAGACTGAGGTAATGATTTACTGTGTTGAGATCCAGAGTCAGCCGACAGAAATCTAACAAAAAAAAATTTAGTTTTACAGAATGTGCTTAAATGAATTATCTAATTATTAATGATTATTTTTTATATTCAAGTTTAAATAAGTGTATATGTGTGGGTGTGTGTGCACTTCACATACATTGCAGTAAATCTTCTCTGCTCATTAGCTCTGAGTGTAAATCCATATCACATGGTGGATCTGTAAGGTGGGATAGTGATGTACATTATGTGTTAAAAATATATGTATAGGTTTTCCATCTTTGAATGATAATTATTATTACTATTACTATTATTATTATTATTAGCATTATTATTATACTGATGCAGGAGCTTCAGTCACAAAGACTGCTCAACCAGTGACTAAAGCGATGTCTACATTTAAATTTGTGAGAAAGATATCAGTGAACAAAAGTGCACATTCAGTGTGTGTGATGCTGGTACATTAATGTCATATGTAAGGAAGGGCTGAAGAGCAGCTGTTCCTCTCGTGAATGCAGGACTTGATCGGACTCTATTAGCAAGAACAGCCCATTCACAACTATATATAGAGGGATATAATATAAATTTGCTCTCCATAAACTCCTCAGGGCAAAGACCAATGACCATTTGCGAGACAAGCAGTGTAAAAATCAGTTTTAGCTGTTTTTGGAGATGCACTCTAAAAGGTATATTAGAAGCTTAAATGGAGAAAAAAACAATCTTTATGAAATTATGTTGTGAAATTTTGCAAAATGTTTATGAAGAATTTCATTGAAATCTATGTCATGAGCTGCCAGGCCCTCAGTAAGTTGGCATGGCCGAACCTAAAGGCTACAAGTAATATTTCCTTTCCTAGAAGTCCTTGATCACTAATAAATATTATTTATTTGCTTTTGTTATTAAAACTGCTTTATAGATGTGATTTAAATAAATAAACATGAAATAAATATATTTTAACAATGCCATTATTTGCTGTTCTGTTTTCTGATCAAGTTGTGTCACTGTCTATTTTCACCAATGCTATTTGTTTTGATGAACTTTGTTTATTTTTATGTACTTTTGTAGCGAACACTGGCTGAAACTTTACCCCTAGGCTGAGCGTATCAACAACCCAAAGTTAAGGGCCTTTTGGCTCCAGCGAGTCTGGAATTGAAAGTGTAAATCTGTCACTTAACACTCCCAACCCCCAAACTCAGCCAAATTTACGACTGAACCAAGAACCAGCACCCCTCTCCCTCGACCCAGGGGGCAACGCCTCCCTGGAATATTGGCCACATGGCCCTCCAAAGTCCTGTGGACAACTTTATCTTTAAGTATATGTAAGATATATGTCCACTCCAAACTGCAACCATTCATTAGAAATCTTTTTAACTAAACTAGACATACCAAAGGTGGAACTCGTACGACTTTGGACAGCAAAATTTCAATTTTCCAAATTCCCTAGGGATCTCAAGCATGGACCCACAGCACCCCCAAGGGGTGAAACCACGAATTACCACTTCACCACCGTAAGGACTTGTGCTTATAAGGAACCCCAAGAAACTTCTTGCTTTGTCTGCTTGATTATCAACATTTATATAATCCGTAAGCAATGCTACTTTTTGTATTAATCTTGTTGTTAGGTAGTACCTAAATATTACCTGTATCTTTTTATACTATTAAGTGCTAGAAATACGTAGAGTATAACTTTGATAACAGTCAGACCCAACCATTTAATTGCTATGAGTTTAGACCATTGACCAATATGTATCCTGAATGTGGTTTTCTTTTCTTTTCTTCCTTTGTTCTTTTCCTTTTATTTTAATTTTATTTTTCATGCATTGGGTCATGTTCAGATATGATAGGCAAATATTACCTGTGCTCTTTGACATGTGTTGTGTATCAGGTAACAAGGGTTAAACTCTCTCTTAGAAACACGCATGAATATCCTAGTTGTTCATTCCTTGATTTTGAAAGTTAAATCAATTTGATGATATAGGAATGTTTGTTTTTCTTTGTTTAACTAGCTGAAACAAAGGATACAGTGATTCTGGGGAAGGCATTCCTACATTTATGCACAACCAATCAGAGTTGGAAACAATGAGTAGCTAGTAACCTTAGGTGAGGAGAACCTGTCAGCACTCTGGCTCCACCTCCAAAGGGTAGGGCCTCCAGCCGAGCAAAACTGCACCGCAAATTTGGGTTCAGTTCAGATTCCTGCGTTCGCAACAAAAGGATAGCTAAGTTTCTAAGTTTGTGCCGGCCTTGGTCAGAAAGACAGGTCAGAAGTATTAGAACGCTAAATTTTCAGATCTAAAACCTTTGTTTGTTTTGTAACTTGCCTGTTCATCTACACACCTTAAATTTAAACCACCCTCAGAGAAGGAAGGTGGATATTTCTTGTCTGGCCAGGGAGAATATATCTATAACTTTTGCTTCTGCTAAAGAGAGGTAGTTCCATGGCCAGCGAGGAGAGGAACCACCGAGTGAGCTCCAGCCTTCGATCGAGTCTGTCCTGAGACGACCCTCCTGAAGTCAGCCCCCGACTCCAATGTAAGCTGGTTCCATCAATTTGCAGTCAGGGCCCTGACGCCAATTTATTTACTAAGAGAACTTATATAGGTACATCCAGCCATATAGTTCTTCCCGTCCAGGCTTAGGTTAATTCTCTAGAGGCTCTCCCAAGCAACTCCCCAAACCACACTGCCTCATACCATTTAGCCGTGAATCACTCTAACTTACTCGAGCTATTTTGTCTTTCATTACTATCACTTTGTTTTGTTTTGTTTATCATTGAATGTAGTCCAAAAGTAGTTTGATATTTAGCCAATAAATTCCCTTTTCTGAAGCATCCTTGGTGCGAGCGCTTCTCTCTCTTGCCCTGGTCTGTAGACTTCAAATAAATTCGGGTTACCTCACACCCTCACATAAGTTTCTAGCAATAATAATATTAAAAATTACAAAACCCATTACACTTTATTAAGTAATTGTTTTTGCATCAGCTTGTTGCTGGTAAGTTGTAACGTTTGCACTCTCATAACTTTCAGCTGAAGTGTTCAGAAAAGCTTGAGCTGCAGACAAAGTGTAGATTTTCATTTTGTAGCAGAGATTTATAGATTGTTTGTATAAATATTATTTATTTTCCTGAAATATTTTTTCAAGTATTTGCTAACAACCAAATTTTGTGTGCTTGTGCTCAGTGCTCCACAAGTCACAAGGTTCTTTATCCTTCTGTTCCAAATGAGAACAAGCATCAAATTTTTGACCAGTGAGGGAAAATCTTCAGCACAGTTTACTGTATTCAATATTCAGTTATTTTTGTAAACAGTATGAGGTCACCTTGAACAATTAAACACAATGTTCACTGAAGGTCAAATATCTCTGCAAAGCCAAACAATCTCTTTCATAAAATGTCATCATTGTATTTGTGTTAGTCTATTAGCACAAGGATTCAGGTTTTCTAGTCTAGTCAGCACACAAGGATGTGTGCCTAACTGTCATGGTTTCCTCAGTCCCTCTGTCTTCATCTGTTTCTTCCCCTGTATTGTAGCCATGTGATTTTTAGCCATGTGCTTGTGTTTTCATTTTGGTTCTTTGGCTCCGCCCTTTTCCCCCCACCATCCCTAGTAGGATCCTCACCTGTTTGTACTCCCTGCCTCCTCCCTGTCCCAGATGTTCCCTATTGCTTGTCGGTATATTAAGCCCTTTGTTCTCTAGTCTAATTGTCACTTTTCATCATGTAGTGGTTGTGTGCCTACCTCGTATTTTGTTTGCTCTGTTTCTTTGTTTAAACCTTGTAGTTTGTTACTTTGTATTTTTGCTAGTTTCTCTTGTGCGAATGCCATGGGCATAAGGGCTGTGAAGGTGCAGCCAGTCCAGCAGCACCAGAACTGTCGGCTGCTACTGAGTTTCCTGCTGTTTCTGCACCCCAGGACCAAGCCGTGTCCGCTTTTGCCACCGCTTCCCCTGACCTGCCTGCCCTTTAAACCTTATTTTACTTTGTATTTTTGCTAGTTTGTTTTATTAAAGTGCTGCTCACACGTACATCCAGCCTTCTTGCTCTACACATTGTCCATTTTTTTGAGTCCCCATTGGATTTTTTTTTTTCTTTTTCTCAATATTATCAATTAACACTTTGGGCTTTACCAAGATATATGAATATTCAAGGACTAGTGGGCATCAAGGGTAGCAATAAGAACAAAAACTCTTATGACTCACCCACACTCTGTCTGCGCCCGTAAAGATGCTGTGCAGTTAAAGATTCACCCTCATGTTCATCAGCAGAGCTCCTTTCACTAAACAAAGAGATTTTACTGAATTCCTGCTTACAGAATTCCTCTAGTCTCTCTTTCAGATCAGAGAGAGATTTCCTCACTCCATCAAATAAGAGATGTTGAGGGACAGTGATGCTGGGTGAGTCCTCGGATCCAGAAGAGACACGGAGAGACTGGAATCTCTACAGAGACAATAGAGTAATGGAGAAAGATGTACAAAAGTGATGAATAACCTCAATCCACATTAGATTAAAAAAAGATTTGATTTCAAACACATTTACTGTGAATCTTTAAGTTTCAGGTCTCTGAGTAGATCAGACAGTGATGGTTACCTGGAGGAAATGGATGTGATCCTCTGTGTGTGAAAGCTGCTCCAGCTCAGTGTCTCTCCTCTTTAGATAAGCAATCTCCTGCTCCAGCTGCTCCAGGAGTTCCTCAGCTCCACTCAGTTCAGCCTCCTCCTGAGCTCTGATCAGCTCCGTTACCTCAGAGCGCTTTTTCTCAATGGAGCGGATCAGCTCAGTAAAGATCCTCTCACTGTCCTCCACTGCTGCCTGTGCAGAGCTCTGTTACAACACGCACACAAGATGGAGCTCCATTTACACACCAGCTATCATTCACTCTCTCACTGGGACTCTAGATGACTCACTGTCCACATTGTGGCTGTGTAGGATCTCTAAGTGTCCAACACTGGACTCCTCACTGTCTGACTGGAGGAGAGTCTGACTGAGCTGTGAAACAGCTGCTCCAGCAGATCTCTGCTCACTACTCACCTTAAGAGTCTTCACAGCCTGTTTCACCTCCTGCAGCTTCTTCTCTTTCTCCTGGAGTCTCTGCTGAGATTTCCTCTGCATCTCCTTCAGCTGACTCTGGGGGAAAAAACATTTTATGTGGTCACCAGCCCTGCAGTCTGCAGATCTTTTTTCAAACTCTATAGCTCCAACCCTAACTGACCCTTCCTGATCCATCTAAATTTTGCCTTTAAGAGTTCTTAATGAGCTCAATGAGGTGTGTTACGGGGAGGATGGAGGTGAAACCTGCAGGAAGATAGATCTTCAGGAGGATGTTGATGTCACTTATCTAATTGAGATTAACTGGTGAGTTACAACTGTATTTAGAGTTTGACAGAGCCTGGCATAAATTGATTGTTTTTATGATAAATACATTTTATTTAGTAGGTTATTTGCACCCCTGCTTGCCAACATTGTATGTGGTTGTTCTTCAGCACTTCTTAATTCCATTATGGAATGTGACGCCGAAATAATCAGTGCTTTGTTGTTGACATTTCTTTCTCGTAATGTGTGTATCTGTGTCAGGTAGGAATTAACTGTGGAGAAAGCAGGCGATGATTGATGTGAAATGTGTGCAGGGAGAAAAGAGCTGGCTGATGAAATGTTGATTGACTGGTTTGTCTTGTTTGGTGCTAACATTGAGACAGACAGAAAGTTATTTGGGCTACCACTCCCTCACCCACAACAGTTTCACTTAAGTCATTTCAATCACTTCAAATACAGTTACAGTTTCAATTCTGTACCTATATAATCCAACTACATTGGAGAAAAACTGATTAAACATAGTCATTCAATAAATGCTATTTCTTACCTGTTTCTCAGACCGTTCTGCTGCAGCTGCAACTGTATCATGACCTTTGTGTTCATACTTCGTACACAAATAACAGATGCCGCTGTCATCAGTATGACAGAAGATCTCGATTACTTTATCATGTTGAGGGCAGATCTTCTCTTGTAGCTGTTTGGAGGCTTCGACCAGCTTGTGCTTCTTAAAGGCAGGAGACTGATAGTGAGGTTTAAGATGAGTTTCACAAAATGAAGCCAGACACACCAAACAGGACTTGATGGCTTTGCGTTTTCTCCCAGTGCAGGAATCACACTCCACATCTCCAGGTCCAGCGTAACAGTGAGCAGAAGGAGCAGCTTGGAGTTCTGTCTTCTTCAGTTTCTCCACCACTTCAGCCAGCATGTTGTTTCTGCGTAGAACAGGCCTTGGAGTGAAAGTCTCTCTGCACTGGGGGCAGCTGTAGACCCCCCTCTGATCATCCTGATCCCAGCAGCCATTAATACACACCATACAGAAACTGTGTCCACAGGGAATAGTCACTGGATCCTTCAGCAGAGACAGACAGACTGGACAGCTGAACTGGTCCTGATCTACTGAAATACTGGCCTCTGCCATTTTCCTGCACTCACAGACAGAGAGAGAGAGCAGCTCTCTGAGATCAGTTTCGTTTGCTTGGAATGAAATGAGCTGCAAAGTGGGAGTGGCTACCTGTAAAGAGAGTGGCAGAGCACTCAAAGAATATATTAGTTAAAATCTCAACATATACAGACATTCTGACTCAGAACTCATTTCAGTCTATGGTGATTGTGTTGATTGAGTGTTTTCTATCAGAACAAAAAAATAATGCTTATACAGTGGGCAGTATGAGGTGTGAAATTTGCAAAGTGTTCCATCTGCCAGAGCACCTCACCTTGGAAACCACTGCCCCACTCAGCCCTCTCCCAATTTTTAGGGTTCCTTTCAAATGACTGATGATGGACCTATAAGGTTACTGGAGCTGCTAACTGAACGTGGCTTGTTGTTTCTCTCATGATTCCTGGCTGAGGCTCCAACAAATTAAACAATTTCTTCCTGTCATGCTCAGAAAAACAACTCCATTGAACAGTTCAGCATCCTTAAGTTCTCTGTCAGTACAGTAAACACAACAAGACTCCAGAGGCTTCACTTTATTTGAGCTGCTCTATATGAACCTAGGAGTCTGCAGAACATGGTTCAGGGAAAGCTAGCTGTCTCCTTTTCATTCTGTGATCAAGTATATTCAGGATAGAATAGGCAAAATACCCTGAACATATGGAGGCCCAGTGAGCCCAGCAAGAGCTGATAACTGACTAGCTCAGGCCTGTGAATGAAGTACAGTGATGGTCCATTTCTGTTCTTTGACTGTTATCATAAATGTTCCTTAAGGTGCTAATATGTACATCTTTATAGCTGGAAAGTCAAAGTTCAAACCAAGTCAAATCATGTTTGTCACATCACATTCACACAGGTCCTAAGGTGAATGAAAATCTTAGATGTGTAGCCCCCTTGTAGTACTTAAATTCTAGAAATATATACACATAATATTAATGTACACACAGCAGACTCTATAATATACAACCCCATTTCCAAAAAAGTTGGGACGCTATGCAAAATGTAAATAAAAACACAATGCAATGTGTTTTAAACCCTATATTTTATTTAAAATAGTACAAAGACAACATATCAAATGTTTAAATTTTAACGTGATTGGGTAAAAAAAAAGCATCTCAGAGAGGCTTTCAGAAGTAAAGATGAGGAGAGGTTCACCACACTGTGACTGCACAGGCAAATAGTGCAACAATTCAAGAATAACTTTTCTTACCATAAAATAGCAAAGAACTTTTGCTTTTCATCATCTTTGGTACATAATATCATTAAAAGATTCAGAGAATCTGGAGAAATCTCTGTATGCAAGTAACAAGGCCAAAAACCAGTATTTGCTGGCTATGATCTTTGGGCCTTCAGGTGGCACTGCATTAAAACAGACATGATTCTGTAGTGGAAATCACTGCATGGGCTCAGAAACACTTCTGAAAACCACTGCCTATGAACACACTTTGTCACTGAAACTGTTAAAACTCTAAAGCGCAAAGAAGAATATTATATATACACAGGAATGCTGCCACCTTCTCTGGGCCCGAGCTCATTTAAAATGGACTCATTTAAAATTGAGCAGCTAAAATCCTATATCAAACAAGTGTAACGGTTATTGCAATTTTAATCTGATTATAAATATGATTATTATTGCTTAAACTAAAAAGGAGGTCAGGGTAACTTGGATTTTGTTTAAAGTCTACAGACCAATGAGGGAAAAGACAGACACTCATGCTGAGGATGCTTCAATCAAAAGTAACTTTATTGGCTAAATATGACACTACAGTTGGATAACTTGGTTAATAAACAAAAGAAAAGAAATAAAAAAACAAGGGAATGGCTCAGGTAATGTAACATATTTCCCAGTGTAAAATGGTGTGCAAAGGTGGCTGAGGGCGCTCCTTGGGAAAGCGACTCGGGCCTTAAGGACAAAGGATCTATAGGGCAGCTTAACCTAAACTAGCATATATCTAAAAGAGAATTCTTATCGAATAAAATAGTGTCGAACCTTGACTGCACAAATGAAAGATAGCCAGCCTTACTTTGAAGTCGGGAGACAGGACGGCGGGTCCTCTGAGGTGGGTCGCTTGAGGATCGGCTGGAGCTCGCATGCTGAGCGTTTCTTTACTGGCCCTGGAGTCTTGGTGGGACTTCGCACAGGCGATCCGTTGCAGTTGATGACCGACTTCGGCGTCTCGACTGCCCGAGGATGAAGCTTGGAACCAGGGCAGTCTTCTGGCGAGGATTCAGTTCGCCAGTCGAGGCGCAGCTCTGGCTGGGCTTCAGAGTCTCTGGGCTTCTTCTTAGGGCTGGGGAAATGCAGTCAAATTTCGAGGCTGCTAACCTGAATCACTACCTATCTTCGTCAGAGCTCAAACTTGAAGAAATTCCTTACTTGGCCATGTAAAGAAATCTTCACTTTCTTCTCTAAGGTTGGGTTAAACTTAAAGGTATAAACAAAAGACAAACTACACGAACAACAAAATATCCAGATCTGATCTAAGCGTTGTAAACTTCTAAACTTTCTTTCTAACTGCGGTTGGCACAGACTTGTGGAAGTTTCTCCTTGTTCTCTGGGATGCGAGCTCGAACTAACTGGAACTGGCGTGCGCGCCGGTTTTACCAGGCTGTTGGCCCCTTCATTCGGGGTTGGAGCAAAGGTGGTGATAGGTTCTCTTACCTAGCGGGTAATTTGCTATTTCTAGTTCTCGATTCTGATTAGGGGTGGTTTCTCTGTGAGCGCCTTCCCAGGGAACTCCCTTCTTTGTTCCCTCTAGATTTGAAACTAGAATAATCTAAAGTTAGAATAAATCAAAACAGTTTCAGATCATTGAATTAAGTTCCAAAATCCACACAGACAATTAACATTTGTGCATCAACCTACAGTTTTATCCACATTACCTGAAAACAACTATTGTGAAGGCAGAAACAGGTACAGGTAACCCTTTGGATGTCTTTTCATGGCAGGAGATTTAACACAGTAAAATCATCACTTCAAAGAATAAAATCAAGTAAACGAGAATAGTAAAATAGAAGACTAGACATAATAAGTGAAAAGAAAACCTAAGTGCATGCTTAGTGTTCTAAAACCACTACTTTAAATGGTTATTTCAGTAACTTTCAGACAGTTATCCTACATATTCCTAACGTCTGGTAAAAGAAAGGAGTATTCACACTTTAAGTAACTCGGTACACAAATACAAGCATCATCTCTTGCAAATTAGATAGGATTGATAGTCAAACATGCATATCAGTGAGTGTTTCTGGGGTCCTTTGTGAGCAACAGTCCTTACGGTGGTGATGTGGTAATTCTTGTGTTCACACCTTGGGGTGCTGTGGGTCCATGTTGAGATCCTCAGGGGATTTAGAAAGTTTTAAATTCTCAGTTCAGATTGTCGTAGCAGTCCCATTCTTGGTATGTCTAGTTTAGTTAAAATGAGTCCTAACGAATGGTTGCAGTTTGGAGTGGATATATACCTTAGAAATGTACTTTCTGTTACTTAAATATAAAGTTGTCCACAGGACTTTGGAGAGCCATATGCCACATTCCAGAGGGATGTGCTCTGTTGCCCCCTGGGTCAAGGGAGAGGGGTGCTGGTTCTTGATTCAGCTGTAAATTTGACTTTGGGGTTTGGGGTTGGGAGTGTTAAGTCGACAGATTTACACTTTCAACTCCAGACTCGCTGGAGCCAAAAGGTCCTTAGCTTTTGGGTAAACACTCATCTTGAAGTAAAGTTTCAGCCAGTGTTCGCTACACAAGAAAGGGAAAACATTTCACTTTTAAAACTACAGTAGTGTCTCCTCACTTCCCAAACGCTTACAGAGTGTTGTTAAAAAAAAGAGGTGATGAAACACAGTGGTGAACATGCCCCCGTCCCAACTTTTTTGGAATGTATTTTTTGGAATCAAATTCAAAATGGGCATATAGTTTAAAAAAAAAACAATAAAATGTCTCAGTTTCAACATTTGATATGTTATCTTTGTGGCATTTTCCTTTAAATATATGCTTTACATGATTTGCATACTATTGCAATCTATTTTTATTCACATTCTGCACAGTGTCCTGATTTTCTTGGAAATGGGGTTGTATATACACACATACACAATATACACAAAGTACTGAAACAACAAAGTATTCATGCCTAAATAAAGCCATTCCTCGTGGATACTGTAATAAGTAAAAACATTCTACTTATAAAAATCTTTAAATAAAATAAGATAATTAAGATTTATCCCATTTTGTTTTAACCTATTTATTGATTTGTACGAGAGTAGTCTGGATTTTTCAGACAGAATGCACGGCCTCACCTGTAAGGTTGTAGGAAAATAATGAGATCATTTACTGCTTATGTAAGAGGAATAAGTGATTTTGCTATCTATTAGAAAACTTTTATTTCACTAATTTGGAAATATAAAGTTATATTTGCTAGTCTAAACTGTGTGTCTGTACAGTCTTTGGACATGTGATTTTTCATGTTTCTTGTTATGTCACATAAAAGAACAGCACAAGGAGACGAATAACTCTTTTACAGGCTCTTCAGTATAATATTAATTTATCTGTGGGGCTTTGAGAGCTGAAGCTGATGTTAACAACTTAAAAATACTTTTCTAATACAATTACAATTTTTTACAATATAGATTTGCTCTCCAGTTTGGTACATATTTTTTGTTTAAGCATCAACCATTTTTAAAGAGGAGTCAAATTCATTATTATTATTATTTATATGATGGAGTATGTTGTAACAGTTCACATTAATACATTGGTAAACAAAATTAATTCTGAGGGGTCAGTCTTGGTCTGCCACAGGCAGGAGCCTGGCCACCCAGCCTGTGGTCAAAACCAATGCCACCACTAGAGGGAGGCAGAGAGCAAGCTCTCAGTAATCAGAGACTTGTCACACCTGTGATATATATATAAAATAAAAAGCTCTCAGAAGTAAAAGGTAGTGCAGAAAATGCTAATTCTGATGTATACTTTCTGGAGACTTTGCTACAGACTTGAACAGTAAATTAAC